TTTCAGCTTTACAAACCATTTTCAGCTTTACAAACCATTTTATTTTATTTTTTATATTTTAAAAGAACAGGTTTATTAGCAAAAGGAAAAGAGAAGACTCTTGCACAGTCTCAAGTGGGCAGGTGAGCTGCCACTGCTGCTTTGCAAAAGGAAAAGGTTTGTGAAAAGAAATGCCTGCATTGTCACAGGTGGGCAGGAGAGCTGCCTGAAAATTATGTTAGATAAGGACCCTAAAGACCATTCAAATGAAGTCATTCTAGACCATCCAGCTACAGCCGAGCTGGCACAGACAAGATTAGACTAGCCAACCCATAAAATCACGATCAATACACTGTGGTTTCTTTAAACTATTGAAATTTGTGAATGGCAATAGTTGACTGAAACACTGACATTCTGACAAATGCTTCCAGAAAGTTGGGGAGTGTGCACTGTGAATGACTAGGGGAACAGCCTTGGAAAATACTTAAAAGCAGAAAAGAAAGGGAGAGGTTGAGGGAGTGAGAAAAGGAAGGAGAGTAAGAGACCACATTTGTAAAGCTAAGAATTATGCAGATTGGTAAATAATTTGGTTTTAATACAAAGTAAATTAGAGAATTCACCCTTGAAGTACAGCAACCCCTTCAGGCAGCCAATTAATCCTCCAGGAAGCCTCGAGACAATTTTTTCTCTTTGGTGTTCCAACTTTGCCTTGTGTAAGGTAAGGAAAAATGTCAGGCTTTTCTGCCCTCCCGCCATCAGGATAGATGATAGATCCTTGCGGTCCTGAATGCATGCCTGATGGCGGCACCTGGAATAGGGTGTGGGCATAGGTAGATGGGATTCACCTGGGCTGAGACTGGGCTTTTAAGGGCGGCGTCACGGGGATGCCAGCAGAAGCCGAAAGAGAAGCCGAGAGAGAAGCAAGAGAAGCAGAAGCCGAGAGAAGGCCGGAGAGCCCAGATAGAGTGAAGACTTATGGGGGGCTGCACCCCTGCCTGCAAAATACCACTGAGGACTCTGACTCCTCCTTTACTGGGTCTGCTGGATCAGAAAACCTGCCCTGTGGTCTTCCTGCCCCTACACCTTGATAAACTCTGAGAGAGATTCTCTGGAGACTGTTCTTCATTCCTCTCAGAAATGCAGCTAGCAAAGCTATAGCTTGCTTCTCAGACTTCTAAGATATGAACCGGTTACCAGTCTTCAGTATCTTCCAAGTGCAAGTGAAGAATAATAAAGTTTGTCCTCATAATAATATGAGCCATCTCTAGAAACTTGCTAATTTAGGAAAAGAGACCAAATAACTAAGTACCCCCCATATCACCTCTATCTTTACAAAAGAATAGGATTCATAAGATACACAATGACTCTTTAAAAAAACCCTCCCTAAATTTCAAGATCTTTGCTCCCTGATTAGATTGTTGTCTAAAAACACAATGTTTTTGCAACTTCCTTTTGTTAAGACCTGAATATTAGTTTTGTGCCTTAGTTAAAAATGTGATATCTATTATTTTATCACTTGTCTTATCAGTTGCACCTGAAATTATAACTAACATAGGTGCCTTTTAATATCCTGTTAGAGCAACTATCTATCCTGAAGTCTAATTTTCCATGGTAGAAGAGAACTTACTTTTTAAACCTCTATCTTCAAAAGTATTATTTTGGCTATCACCCGTTACAATCTGACTCTGATTCCCTTGTAAAAATTATAATTACTCTCTTTTATTTAATGTTTGGTAATGACTTCCTTTATTTAATATCTAGTGGTAATTTCACTTATTTAGCTATGACCCTTTTGTTAAGTATCTACTGAACTCTTACAAGTATCACGTCTAAATGAGTTTCTGGAGATACGGAGAGAAGAAAGACATAGTTCTTGACTTCAAGGAGCTCATGGTTGATTGGTCAACAATTTGAATAGTAATATTAAAGAGGTATATATAGTATATTTGATGATTATATTCACTTAGGGATTTTCATATGGAAATAAAAGAAAAACTTAAAAACGCATTAAGCAATAAAACATATACACGGACACTCACAATAGGACATCTAGTAGTTGGGCACCTTCAGGGTAGATTAACTCTAAACCTTAGTTCTATTTCTCCAGTCCCTATTGTCCTCTGTGACTTAGCTGTATTTTAAATCTAATAATAAGATGGTTGTCTTAGCTCTGAATTCACTTCTATGCTAGCAGAATTCAGAGGAATAAAGAGCTGGTTGTGAAAATAATCGTAGAAGAACCCCCCCAAAAAAAAACTCTCCTAACATCTGACCTTGTTACAGGGCAGGGAGAGGGGCACCCCAGAATCCCCAACCCTGCATGCTCTAAATTGCTACTGCCATCTGCTACATCAAGACAAAACTTACAGACCTTCAGTGGAAAGGAACTTAAATACAATTAGTATGCAATACAGAAAAGACAAAGAATATAGTTTCAAATCAAGCACGCAAAGTTACCTGTCCTTTCAGGGGTAAAAGTCCACCCAAATGGCATTGGCCTAGAGCAAGGCCCTAAAGCCTGCCACAACTCTAAAGCACCTTCTGGCAGGGACCAGAAACAGTCAGAAACAGTCATACAAGTCTGGGAGGAAAAGAGCAAAATCAAAATCAAGATAAAAGCTGCCATTGCCACCCTCCCCACGGGTTTCTTACCCACGTCTGTTTCAACCAGTCCAGGGCCAAAAAAGCAAGTGTAGTTTTTTTACGTCTCTCTGAACCATGTGCCTCCTCCGGGTCTCCTTCTTGCTCCCCATCCTCCTTTCCTTCTTCCCCGGCCTCCTCTCTAGCTTTTGCTTCTCCCTGCTCAGCTCCACCTTCCCTTGGGTGGGGCAGGGAACCTAGAACCTCTCCTTTTCCTGGGGACCACCCTGTTAAAATGAGTCACATACCATTACAGAAATAATGCAAATACTCGTGGAAAATCAAGTGTATTCCCAAGCTGGATGTGATTAGCTTTCTCTGAGTACTTAGGTTTGTGAGTGTGGTTGATTACTTGAGTAATTTCCAGATTCTGTTAGAAAGAAGGAAGGGTGAATTAATGTTTGGTGATAAGAATACTCACTTGTAGGGTAAGGTAAAATGTATCAGGCTTTTCTGCCCTCCCACCATCAGGATAGATGACGGAACCCTGTGGTCCTGAATGCATGCCTGATGGCGGGCACCTGGAGTAGAGTGTGGGCATAGGTAGATGGGATTCACTTGGGCTAAGACTGGACTTTTAAGGGCAGCATCATGGTGACGCCAGCAGAAGCAGAGAAGAGAAGCTGTAGAAACCGAGAGAAGCAGAGAGCAGAAGAAGTAGAAAGCAGAGAAGCAGAGACCACCAGAGAATGCCAGAGAACCCAGAAAGAGTGAAGACTTGCTGGGGGCTGGGAGGCCTGCCAGCCTCCCAGCCCCCCAGCACCCCTGCCTGCTGTGTACATGGTAAATCCCAACAAAAGCCTGCAAAAGCCACTGCGGGCTCCAGGACTGACTCTCCTCTTTTACCCCATCTGCTGAATCAGAAAATATGCACTGTGGCCCATCCTGCCCTTACAACTGGTGTGTCGGCAAGATGATCCATGCAGACAGGTATGGAACCCTCCGAAGACCTGGAGGGACTGAGGAGTAGCAGACCAAAAGCCTGTGACAACGCTGGAGGAGTCATGGCAGCACAGAAGGTGGACAAGGTCCAGGAGCTGCAGGATGAGACCTCTCCTGGAGGAGACGGCCAGAGAAGAGCAGCCAACAACCCCTGAGGCGGTAGAATCATCAGGGAGGAAAGGATCACGATTTGGAGCTCACCAGTGCTGATGCAGGGAGAGGCCTAATGGGCTTGGACTGATGGGCTTGGACTGATGGACTTGGACAATCCTGCTGGAAGGCAGAGTAACCTTGGCAGCTTGTTACATTTTGGTGACCCTGAGGGTGGATATGGTATTGTTTTTACACCCCAGGAGATGGGAATCTGGGGGTGGCCAGTGGGCCTCAGTGGCCAAAAGCGGCCTGTGTATGTACGCCCAGCTGCTAGGCAGAGGAGAAAAGCCAACTGAGGAGGCAAAAGCTGGTGCTAAGATTGAGAAGCCCTGAGCGGCTGTTAAGCAGCTTGAATATGTGGAAGGCCAGTGAGTCTCTTAAAATCACCTGAGGGTGATGCCCTGCTTGCTGTCGAGTGAGGAGCTGAGGAACCCATCCTTGGGGGATGGGTGGGGAGTGTGGCTTGGGATGAAGCCCAAGCAGAAGAGGGGACCCAAGAGAGGCCACATGTGGAGCTCGCATCCAGGGATCCCTGACCCATGTGCTTGTGCAATGATTTGGCCTGAGTGCAGGGGTCTGCGTGTCGCATTGGTGGCTATGACAGCCGAGTGTTGGAGTGACCGCAGAAACCCTGAGGATTGAGCGATTACCCCCAAAGAGTAGAGAATCCCTAATCCAGGAGTGAGTGCATCCTGGGGGTGGATGCGGTGTGTGGCTTGTGGCTGAGACTACAGCCAGAGAAGGCCAGGAAGCCTGACGGTTCCTGGTGTGTGATGGCAGATGCTGTGAGTGGCTCCCCCCTTGTATGAGCAGAGCCTTCGGCAGTAGAAGTGGTGGATCATCTGCTGGTGCCAATAATTGTCTTTTGCCACTAGGTTGGTGCCCTGTCTGGACTAATTTGTGTTCTGTTGTATTTTGTGATATTGCTATATTCAGTTGTATTCTGTGTACCTTTATGGGCCATGGCTGCAGTGTTCATATTCACCAAGAGAAACGTGTGTATAACTTATACCAACTGTCTGGCAGAAAACCCTGAGGGGGTGGAGTGTAGGGAAAGGTAAAATGTATCAGATTTTTCTGCCCTCCCACCATTAGGATGGATGACAGAAACCTATGGTCCTGAATGCATGCCTGATGGCGGGCACCTGGAGTAGGGTGTGGGCATATGTAGATGGGATTCACCTGGGCTAAGACTGGGCTTTTAAGGGCGGCGTCACGGGGATGCCAGCAGAAGAAGCAGAGAAGAGAAGCAGTAGAAGCTGAGAGAAACAGAGCAGAAGCAGAGAAGCAGAGAACACCAGAGAATGCCGGAGAGCCCAGAAAGAGTGAAGACTTGCTGGGGGCTGGGAGGTCTGCTGGCCCTCCAGCACCCCTGTCTACTGTGCACCTGGTAAATCCCAGTAAAAGCCTGCAAAAGCCACTGTGGTCTCCAGGACTGACTCTCCCCCTTTACCCCATCTGCTGAATCAGAAAACCTGCCCTGTGCCCCTTCCTGCCCTACGGTGGTAAGAATAGTCACTGCTGTAGGTTTCAAACAGGGTGGAGAATGGCTCTCACCCTGAGTGTTGGGAAGGGATCAGGAAATGAGCGTATATGGATGTAATGCTTTAAATGTAGTCAGTGCCTTTGCCTCAACCTTCCCTGGGCTTGAAATTTCATAGGAAACCTGTTAGGATTTTCTCTTCCTGATCCTAGATATTTCTCAGTCTCTTCATACCAGGAGTCATATCTGATGAATCCCTTTAGATAACACTATAAATACACTAGCCACGATGCCACTCCAGGTAATTCAATTACATGCATTTGCCCCAAAGACCCATGATCCACAGACGACTGTGCTTGTTATAAAGGCTGTCAGTGTTCAAATCAGGAAGAAAGAATCTCTGCAAGAAGTTCAGCATTTGAAATAAAGAAATGAAGACTTGTTGAGGAAGAATTGTTTTCTTTCCTTTACATCTTCTAGATAAACATTTCCTGCTTGCTGCCAATATTGATATGTATCATTATCTCTTTCTTAAATTTAAAAACATTTCTATTAATGTTCTTTTCACTGTATCAGATTTGTTTTGTTGGATGAGAATGATAATGATAGCCAGATTTTCATAGGTTGCCTTTATCCACTTTGGTTTTGTTTTGTTTTCAGCAGACTTAATGAAGCAAATAAAGATTTACCAGTCCTCCAGACACTTTTTCAATCTTTAGCAAAGGAATTTGAATGTAACAGTTGCTGATGAAGAATGACAGAGCATTTTGGTGAGTGCACATAAAATTGTTGTTTGTTCAGCTTATGACAAATACATTTTAAATTTAATTTCAAGTTTTCTCTTCCTTCTCTCTGTGAACCTTTGCTTGGGAATGCTTCTCACGGCCAAAATGTGTTCCCAAATTGGATAGACATGCTGTTACTTGTGCTGCTAAATGAGTCTCTAAGATGGGCTGCCTGGTGCCCACACTGCCAGCCCCACTGTGGCCTGCAGGCCAGTTGCCAGTTTGTAGCTGTGTCCAGGCGCAGATCAGCTTCCTAACTGATTTTCTCCCTCTTCCCAATCTAATTATTTGGAGACCTTCAAGCTTTCCAGAAATATCTGCAATTAGTCAGATGGTGTCTAGGGCTTTGTTTAAAATTACAATAGAAAATTTATCAAGACCATTTGGTCTAATCTCTCTCATCATCTTCCCAATGGATTTTTCCTCTTCTCTCTGGAGAGTGAGAAATGAAGTTTCATGATTATTACATAATTACAGAGAATAATAACAATAATAATGCTTGAAATTATTATTATACCATTAAGAAGAATGATGTGTAAAGATAACCCCTTGTCAGATTTACAAAGATTTCTTCCAGAAGCTCAAACAATGAACACTTGCTAGCTTCCTAATGTCCTTTTGCTGACGGTGGTTAGAGCCCTGTATTCTTATAAAGCAGGGTCACGAGTTCCTAGTTTGTTTGAGAGTCAACCTATGTCTGGTATTTAAGCACAGTGGCTGAGGAAAAACCATTGTTCAATAAATCCAGTTATTGCATTAGCTGATAAATTAGGGAAAATTTTTTGATGTAAACCAAGGTTGTATTTCATTGTAAGAAATCTTTTTTTAACTGCTTTTTAATTAAAAAAAAATTAAATGCGGTACTTTTTTCTTCCATCATTGTTACTTTTTGGACAATATATGACTTCTCCCCTTAGGTGTGGTCACCATAGTTTTCTCACCACCAAAGCACCCATAGTCCATCACCATAATCCTTGTGCTCATCCCCCTCCGGTTTCACGCCTCCCCTCTTTTTTTTTTCCCTCCTGGATGTCTAATATCTTGGGAAACTTATATCCAGGTAACAAATATCTAGTTTGGTAAAGTTTATGAAGAGAAAAATATGCAACTGTGCATTGAATTTGACCTGCGGTTCCACTGTTCTCTAACTGGGTCCTTGTGAAAGTCACAGCCCCTTGGAGTCTCATTCCTCGCCAGTACTGGAGCTCACAAGCTTTATACATATATTTCATTAAAGGTTTTCCTTCAAGTTTAAATATGAGCTTGAAAGTCTCTTAGTCTCTTATCCCCAGGCTTATTTTCTTTCCATCTCCCCAGAATTAGTCACTTGGTAAATTTGATATGAATTCTTTCGGTTACATAAATGTATACATCAATAAAAATATTATGTGTGCCTACAACTTTTAAAATTACATAGGTACCATCAAACTATATATACTATCCTGAAACGTTTTCCCTCTTCATTATAGTCTTTCGAGATTTTGATAATATACACTATCTTATAACACATGCTATTTTGTTCTCCCGTGTGTGAGCAGTGGAGCATAATGCGTAATAGGAAACAGATTTTGGAGGCACATCTGGGTTTGACACCCTGCTGTGCCATTTATTGCTGTGGAACCTTGGGGAAGTTACTTAAACTTTCTGTGCCTCAGTTTCCTCATTTACAAAATGGGGATTGTAACAATACCTGTATCATGGATTGGTTATGAGACTCAAACACATTAGCCTCTTAGAATAGTAGCAGTACATAAGAGGAATAATACATGTGTTTTTTAAATGAAAGAAAACTGATGAACATTTTCTTTGCTTTTAGTATTTTACTATTCCAAAGTAAATTTGGAATTCCCCAATGTGTATTCCAAGCACATCTCTAATGTAAATCCTCATTCATTTGAGGGGTGTTCCTGAATAGTATATTACATGTGAAGTTGTTGCCTCCTAGGGTTTATGTATTTCCATCTTTATTAGATGATCCTATTGTTCTCCATGGTGACTATGCTCACTTATGCGTTCCTTTTTAATTAAAAAAATTTAGTTTTTTAATGGTATTGTCATTTTTTGGAGTCTGTAGGTTTGGAGTGTGGGGTCTTTCGGTTCGCTCTGGAAAGGTTTCACTAGAGCTCTCGTTTCAGTGACATGTGGTGAGTTTCCCCATGAGACAGACATTAGTTATATTTAAAGGGCAGGTTTATTAGGGAAGGAATAAAACAGTTAAAGGCACTTGCATAGGCACAAGTGGGCAGAAAGAGCTGCCCCAAAAGGGACAGGTTTGCTAAGAGTGGCCTATATGGTTGCAGGCAGGTGGCCTTGACAGGTCACGGACAGGTAGGAAAACTGCTGCCCTGCAGAGAGAGTTGGTGATAAGAGGCACCTGCATAGTCACAGCTGGCCAATGGGATTGCTGCCTTGAGCCAGTGCAGAGACTGCACTGATAGTCTTCTTCTGTTTGGGAGGGGTCACTCCTTGTGAGTTAGTTGCTAAGTTTGGATAACTATGTAGAATTTGAAAGGGACCCAAGGTTCTACAATGGGCTCAATCTCCATATCTTTACCTTTGGGGTCTGTTGGGCTTAATCTCCATATCTTTAGACTGCACCTAAGGATACTAGTGTCTTCTACTGCCTCTAGCCTTGGGATACTAGTTTCCGCAACTGTGTCTATGGTTATACTAATCTCTTTTGCCCCCACCTCCTTGTGTGAAGCAGGTTTCTGGTCTTGTGGCACCTGCTTTTTTTAGTTTTTTTTTTTTTTTTTTTAGTTTTTTTCTATTCTTGTCCTCCGTCATTTCCCCCCTCCCCCACCATATCGGGGCCAAAATATTTTGGGGAGTTGAAGGGAGGAGGTCCATTTTTTGTAGCTGCTTCCTGCTGGAGTGGGACATAGAGCTGGCCCTGCCTACAAGGGGGGTTATGGTCTCACTAACACTAGTCCCTGAGCTACCCATTGTTGTTGTTTTTAGAAGGAGGCAGGGGTGGGACATCTGGCAGGCTGCTCCTCTTGTATGGGTCAGCTGGTTTTTGTTTGGAGGAGTTTAAACTTGAAGAGCTCTCCCTAGGTTAGAAGAAACAAATTTGATTAGGAGATCCTGTATGTTAAGGTTTTAAGAAGAGAGTGAGAAGTATAGCAACAGCTAAGGGCCCTAAGTAACTTGTAGGGTCATTTGGGGCCAGCCATTGAGTGTGAGGCTTACTAACAAGATGAGCAGCAGTAAAATAGCTAGCAAGTTATAGGGTTGTGACATGGGAATAAATTTTGCCAGGAAAACAAGCCATTTTTAGAGTGTTGTTGTTAGGGGGAAAAGGATGTCCTAAAGCTAATTCCATACAGGCTTTGTTTACTCCACCCCCACCCCAGGCCAAAGCCAGAGACACTGGGAACTCCAAATCCCTTCACCACCAAAGGGAAGGTGGCTGGGACCTGAGGGTGGGGTTAAGCAGCCAGTTGTGGTATAAAGCCAGACACGTGGGCTTTGGAGGGGATCCCCCATTTTGGCTCTCTGCCAGGAGCTCTGAGCGTGCCTTTGGGTTTCCAGGTCCGCGGATTGGGTAGGACGCATTAAAGACTTTATTTCCCTATTTTCTCCCTGAGTTGTACATTTTCTTAATTCCCTTTCCCTTGTAAATAAACCTTTTATTAACCTTTTGTGTGTGCCTGCAGTGGAGTATTAATAAGTCCCTTTTAAGCGCACGGGTGAGGACCCACAGCCAGGCAACCCATTTTATATAGGGTTGCCCCATAACAAAACAACTGTTTTGTCCTGTGAATAGACATGTTTTTGAGGTAACATTGGTTTATAAAACTGTGTTTGAATTAGAGGTACCCACTCTGGTTGAATAAGCTTGGCAAGTTGCTTCTTTGTGCTTTAGTTTTTGATTTTCTAAATTTGAATATAACAAAATGTGGAGTTCTTAAATTGGATATAGTATGTAGGTCGTAAGATTGATGAGTAAATGATATTACTTACATACTAGTATTAAAGGTGTGAAGAGTTGTACATCTTAAAAGATCATATCATAAAACAATTGTAACTCTGTGGTGATAAATATTAAATAGAGTTGGTGATCATTTTGTAATATATACATCAGATTGTGGGTGAAGATTATGTTAAGTTGTGCAGATAGTTTGTAATATGGAACAACTGAGACATGTAAACAAGCTACCTTATAACAGAGACTTAATTATTTTTTTCCCTTTCACATATTTTTGTGATTCTAGTCCCCCCTTCAGGATAGATCCTCACTGTAATAGATGAAATGTTTGTTTGTTTGTTTTTAAGATTTATTTATTTATACAAGCACTGGGTACAGTCAGAAGCACAGGAGGGTGAGAGAATTCACCAGAGCCAGAGTGGAGAGCAGAACAGGCAGACTGACGAAGTACACTGCTGAGGGGAGCAGCGGGCGGCAGAAGAGGTCTGCGCGCCATGTGGGACCCTTGCCCAGTGGCCAGGGATCGAACCAGCACTGCAGAGGTTGCAGGCAGCTTCGCAACCTAGCGCTCAACCACTGCTCCACCGGGAGGCCCTAGATGAAATGTTTGTGTCCCCCGGGCATACAAATGTTGAAGTACTAATCCCCCAGTGATTGGGGGTGGGTGGACTGCTGCCCAGGCCAGTGCAGAGACTGCTCTGATACAGTGTTCTGTTTGGGAGGGACTCACTCCTTCCTGGAGTGGTTGGTTGGTTGTTGATTTTGAATATGTAGAATTTGAAAGGGGCCAGAGATTTTACTATGGCCTTCAACCTCCATATTTTCACCTTTAGGTCTGTGCTCCTGACACCCCCTACAGCAGTTGTGCTTTGTGATCTATGCATTGGTGCCTAAGGGTCTTAGTTCCTCTAGCTTGTTTAATCCCTTCTACCCCCACCTCCAGCTCTTGGCATTGTGTGAGCCACATTTCTGATCTTGTGGCTCCTACTTTCCAGTTTTTCTCTCCTTAATCTCCATCATTGTCTTAAGGGTGAGATCCTCATGATGGAATTAG